TATAAGGTGAACAAATGAATAAATACGTCTGTGATGTGTTCACTCCCACGTAACTGAGAAAATTTTCCTAAGTAAGGAACATAAGTTACTAACCATAAAGGAAAATAAATTGGAATGTAATAACTTCTGTGCATTGAAACACCACTGAAAAAGCAAGGCAATAATGGGAGAAGATATTTGACATATCTGTATCTAGCATATGACTCTAGAGAGGAAATAGGAAGAATTCCAAAGGTCAAAAAGAAAGACAAGTCAACTTGGTTAAAAAGTGAAAGAGGTAATCTGAACAAACATTTTACCAAAAAAAAAAAAGAATCTAAAAGGCTTGTCTGAAAAGTGTTCAGCTGCATGTGTCCTCAGGTAAATGCGAGTTCAAACCACACTGTCAACCACAAAATGACACAGATATTAAAACAGGTAATAATCAGTGGTAGCAAAAGAATGAAGGAAACCGAGCAATCATCTATTGTAAAATGAGTAAACTGGCAAACCTTTGTTAGTGTAAGTTACTGTATTACGAGCCAACGATTTCACTCTGAGTGACACACCCAGCAGCAATGCATACGTATCATCACAAAGTGGACACACGCCGTGTTTTCATGGCAGCAGTATTGACGCTCATCCAGGTGGAAATGAACACGTTCATAAAAAGCAGAAAAGTCGAGCAAATTGTGCTCTACTCATAAAGTGGATACTCTGAGACAAAAGAATAAAGACAATTGCTACACACAGGAGAGTATATAAATCTCACCAACATACTTTTAAAAGAAAGAAATCACACACAGAGGAGTATATGCTCTGTGATTTTATTTATCTAAATTTTAAGACATGATCATTACAATCAGGGCATATTTATCACCAGGATATGATTACTTTAATGGGAGAGGGGGTTAGACTTGGGACAGGGTAGGCAACATGGGGAGCTAGATGTAGGAGCATATTAGCTTTGTGTTATGAAATAGAACATTCTTTTGACAATATCTTCATCGTTATTCCATAATGTTTAAAGATCACTGGACAGGGAAGGTATATTTTGGGGTCAATGAAGTGGAACTGTATACTTTCACTGTGTTTCCAAATATTTCAGTTATGGTTTCTTACCTTATGAATACCAGGGACCTCTGAGGGCATTGTTTGTCCCATATCATCGATAAAAGAGACACAAAATTGCTGTCAGTGAACAGCACTTTCTAAGATGTGGGAAGTCAGCTCAAATGACGCTTAAATTTTGTCTGATTCTGTGAAACACATTTATTTTCCTGATTAAATGTGAATCTGTAAGTCCAATTTCATAAATATGTTCCTATTCAAGAAATACTCATCTCTTTTGTTGTGTTGCCTAACATATAAGCTACCGTTTGTAATCTGCTTTGAACATGATTCTATACGTTACTCAAACTTATCAAACTAAATTAAAGTTGTACAATTAAAGTTGATAAGTGATATTATATCTAAGTTATGCATCAAAAAAGATAAACCAAAAGCAAACTATCAGAGTAAAAAAATGCATAGGAAGATGGAAATAAAGATACAAAGGGTAATAAAAGACTAAAGACACAGCCCTGGCCGATTTGGCTCAGCAGTTATAGTGTCAGCCTAAGGCCCAGAGAGTCCCTGGTCTGTTCCTGCTAAGGGCACATACCTCGGTTGTGGTTTGTCCCCACCCCCAGTTGGGGTCCTGTGGGTGACAACCACTCGATGTGTCTCTCTGTTTCTCTCTCTCTCCACCCCTCTCTCCCTCCTGCTCTGTCTGAAGATAGATGCAAAAAATGTCCTCAAGTGAGGATAAAAAAATAAAATAAATAAAGACACAGTTAGAAAAAATGGAAAAAACAGATTGCAGATATCTTAGAGTTTGGGACTTGCACCTGATTCTGGGCTTTATGTATTTTTCCAATTGATAAAATTTTGAAACAGGCTGAGATATCTGGGTGTGGGAGAGGGGAGGATGAGAAGAGATAAACCAAGGAATGTATATACTTATATGTATAACCCAAAGACACAGACAATGGTGTGTGGTGAAGGCCTGTGGGGATGGGTAGGGGCTGGGCCGAGAGGTGTAAAAGAGGGGACATCTGTAATACTGTCAACAATAAAATATATATATTTAAAAAGTGGGGGGACTCAGCCAGGCCCAATAGCAACCTTCAGGCTTGCATCTATACCACCGCTCCCTGCAAGGCCCGCCGCAGCATGGCCACCCCCAAGCGGTTCCTAAAGGTTTTGTATCTGGGGCAGCGGGAAGGGACTCTCTTCCAGGTGCTCAGTAACATCACCAAGCAGCCCTGCTGGTTCCATTCCAAGTACACGAAGTTCACCTCGCGGTGGCTGGTGGAAGCGATCTTCATCCAGTGGAGAGCACATTCCACATGTCCAGTGTGTGTCGCAGACCCTGCTTCTCGTCAATCAGAGGGTCCTCGAAGGTGAGGCTGAAATCTGGATATATGGTCGGCCTTCTTGCCAAAAGGATGTGTCCAAGATGATCTTTTTAAAAAAAATTGTTTTCTTTATTGATTTTAGAGAGAGAGCAAGGGAGAGGGAGAGAAAGATAGAAACATCAACAGGAGAGAACATCTACGGGCCACCTCCTGCATACCCCCCACTGGGGATTTGGCCCATAACCTCAGCATGTGTCCTAACCAGGAATCGAACTGGTGACCTCTATAGTGCATGTGTCCACGCTCAACCACTGAGCCACACCAGCTGGGTCAAGATGATCTTGAACTTGGCTTACTGTCACCTGTCAACTCTGGGCGCAAAGCTCAGAGAGGAACGCTGCCCGGAAGACTGAGAGGAGACCCCGCGCTCCCAGGCTGCAGTCCAGGAGGTGGGTGACCCAGAGCTCCCCCGACACTGCCCAGGGTCCAGTTCCCAGGTTATGAAGGCATTTCGGGGCCCGGAGAAAGAGTTAGGCAAGGTTCAAGTGGAAACCCCCATATGGAGCCCTATTCTTCGAAATGCTGCTCCTACAGCAGGAGCTGGGGGGAAGGATGGTGCGGGTAGTTCTTGCCCCCCCCCCCGTGTTCAATGTTTGCAAACTTAAATATAAAAAGTTCTAACAAAGAATCAAATTACCCTAATTAAAAAACAAATTAAAAAAGAGGATGCTAACCATAGAGGAGTATGTTTCACAACTTTTCCAGGAGAGTCTGTCTGTGAAGACCTGTGAGAAAGTTAGTTGTGGATAGTTTTTGTTTTCTTTCTCTCCTATTATAATCTTTTGTTCTTTCTTCTTTCTCTGACCCAGTCATTCTAAGAGATTTCAGCACTTTGCTAAAGGAGATGGACATTCTGTCCAGTAGGTATAGTATTTTAAACGAGCAGGGTAACTCTCAGGAACACCCTGGTAATGTCAGAAGCCAAGATTATCCTGCATCCCCTCTCTTAGAGGAGTGGCCCATTTTCCTTTCCCAGTTTGGTAATTTTATTTTTTTTCCCTATGGCTGTGAGAAACCTATCTTTTTCTTCCTGGTGTTTGTTAGAGAATTTTCATTTAAAAGGTTGCCAAGGAGCCCAGCCGAAGTGGCTCAGTGGATTGAGCTTTCTCCCATGGACTGAGAGGACTGAGAGGTCCCTGTTTGATTCCCAGTCAGGGCACATGCCTGGCTTGTGGGCCTGATCCCCAGTAGGGGGCGTGCAAGAGACAGCCGATCAACATTTCTGACATCAATGTTTCTATCTCTCTCTCCCTTCCTCTGTCTTTAAAAAATCAATAAAAACATATCTTTAAAAAAAAAATGTTACCAAAGGGATCTCTGTCTTCATCTCTTTGTCCATCCATTCCTTCATCCTTGACCCAATACCTGGAATCAAACGCTCAAATGGGTCCAGGAGGAGGAGAAATCCTTTGAAGCTGCTGAACTTTCTCCTGTAAAATCTGAGGAGTTATAATTACCATAGAAAAATATTCATAATTACCTGCAGTGGGAGGGAGGAGAGTCAGAGGAAGCAAGCATGTTTCCAGGCTGCTCTACAAAGTCTTAGAAATCTTCTTGGACCTCATCACCAACTTCAATGTCTCACGAGGGCAGAAAGGCTGGATGGACTGGGTCTTTACCCAACTAAGTTGTGCAGAGCCAGGGAGGTCATGAGGACTGGACATGCTGGCGACCCTTCTCTCTCATCGGCTGACCCTCTCTTGCTCGTTCTTGGGCTCCCTCTGGAGACTTCATTTTCTCCCCAGGTCCCTGTGTATAGCTGCTCCCCCATAATGCACTTTTTTATTTAATAATACTTCTCAGCACTTACTGTCCTACTAACTGGGTCTACATCATAGTAATTTGTGTTGATTCTATAGCCTATGCTTTTAGTAATTTTCCTACACATCTATGCATTCATTTGTTCAAATACTTTTTCTATGTGTCTCATATCCTCCGCCTGGTATTCATTCCAGGAATGTGGCTGTGCAGAGCACTGACACTGACCATCCTTCCTTGTAATTTGCAAACTAGGAAAAAAAAAAACAAAAAACACCCAAATTCTGTTGTGAGCGTCACAAAAGAAAAGGATCGGCGGACCTGAGGTCATACTGTAATGTGACCTAGTCTAGTTCAATAAACTGAGAACTGACAGAGGAATAGAATTTAGCCAGATGAATGAAGGGAAGAGAGAATTCCTCACTGACATTGGGTTTTGACAAGATATTTCTGGAAGGAGAGGAGAATTCTATGTACTTTGCATTTATTCACGTAACTGGATTTCGGCACCCAAGTATTTTTCACCTCTAGTAAGCTTAGAGAGCAAATGAAAAGTACATATATCCTACACAGTATAAAAAAGTGATTAGATTTATTTAAATAAAATAGAAAAGCAAATATCCATACTTAAAATGAAATATACCACTTTAAAATATAATACAACAAATATATCTCCTGGAGGTAAATGGATTTAAAGACAATGAGGTATAACTGATTTTCTCCATTCAAGCAGTCACTAGGATACAAGCCTCCTCAGCTATTAAAATTCCCAAGACCTAGGTCATGTTTGTATCCTGTTTCTGCTCATTTGGGTCCATAGCAAATGAAAGGTTTGAGAGGGAAAGAAAAGGAGCATGAGAGGAAATTACAGATGAGGGAACTGCTGGCAACATTAACAAAACTAACTATACCAAATTCATAATCTAAAAACACCCCTACCCAGCCCTGGGGTCTTTGAATATATTGGCGTCTTAGTGGGGAGGTAGAGAAGAGAGCGAAACGGTCATCCACTTTGACACACAGAAGTAGAAAGATACCCTCAGAGTTAAGTAGCATATTGTTCCTGTCTGCCCAGGATTCCTTGCAAAGTCCTATGATCCAATTACAGGAGTGACCCATATCCATCTCCCAGTAGTGTTTGCCAGAAGTGAAGATCTGAGCTCCCCATGAAGATGAAAACTCTAAACTTGCTGGGTTATGGGACGTGTCTTGACTGCATTGCAAACGTCTCAGTTCTTCAAACAGAGGTGAGTCACACATGTTTGTCTTATGTTCCAAGGTAATATACACTTCAGTAAAAAGAAAACAGTGATGTCAAAGGACATAGCTGAAAAATTCTGGGGCCAAGCACAGTGGTGTTCTAGCAAAGATTTAACAAGGAAATCTCTGAAACAAAATACAAGGGTTTGTTTCATTTGCTGGGAATACTCCCACCCCACCATGGCCACTTTCAAAGTAACAACCATTTAGGAATTGCTCATAAAATTCCAGAACATGTAACAATTAGTTTTCATGAATCAGTATTGGATGGTTTCAGAACACCCCTTTATCATAGTGAATATAGAGAGTATGTCATTGGAAATATAGAGTCAGATCAGCAAGGACTTCTTGTCTATCTACAGAGCAGTAAACCTCTGACCATACACTTAGATCAAAGTAAAATTTGAGTATGCATAACAATGTAGAATGTCAGACTCTGGTATCATTTTCACCAGCTCATTAAAAATTTGGGAGCTAGTTCATAGATACCAAGTAAATAGCAAAATGGCCCTCAACTCACGTAAGCCTTCTCATTAATCAACTGTAACAAAATATAATAACAGTAATAAATATATTATACACTATATCTAAAACATATTATTATTATTGTTATTATTATTTCGTAAATAGTGATCACTTTGCCCAAGATATCAGGGCATAATATTTAAACAAGCAAAAAGAAAATTAACTGGAAATCTATGTCTTTTTTTTACAAGTGTTTTCTCCCAGAATTTCTAAAGTTGCACCATCGAGTCAGAATCTCCTCCCTTCCCAGGTCAGCTTCCCCTGCGTCTGCCAGCCTCATCCTCTACATTTGTCTCAAGTTGCCCTGCACACAACAAATCCTGTTCCCTTTGTTTTGTGGTTGTACCTGTTGTTTATAAACATATTTTTATGCCTTTTAAAATCTTATGACTTTTGAAGTACATTTATTAAATATGTAGATAAACATTTTAATAACATTAAAGTGCTTCTAAATATCCAAACATCTACATATAATCACAGTTAACAGCTAAAAGTTAAAATACACTGAATGAATATGCTGTTTTATGTACCAGAGAGCTTTTTTTTTTTTTTTAAACTCACTGAAAGTAATCATATAATAAACTGTTATACAGTGATACCTCGGTTCTCGAACGCCTCGGATTTCGACCAAATCGGTATTCGACCAGGAGATTCGAGAAACAATTGTCTCGGAATCCGAATCAATGAAACCCAATAGGAATAATGGAACTGGATTAATTTCGTTCCAAGCCCCAGAAAATGGCGTATTTACTGGCCCTAATTTGTATATAATATGTAGAAAAACATCAGTCTCAACAAGGAAATAAAAGTGTACCCGTATGTCTACGGGTTAAAGTTCAGGTAAAGCGTGACTCTCTCACAAAGCGTGACTCTCTCTCTGCACTCACACTGATGACGCAAGCAAGGGCATCGCTGGGCCGAATGAACGCCATTCGGCTCAACTCGGCTCATCTCGGAAGTTCGAGTTCCAAATATTTGTTCGGATTCCGAGACAAAAGTTTCTCGAATCTCCTGGTCGAATACCGATTTGGTCGAAATCCGAGGCGTTCGAGAACCGAGGTATCACTGTATTTGATTGACTGTTTCCATTAGCTTTTTCTGACAGTTAATTCACAATGAATTATAAAGTTATTTATAAGGTTTTGCATATTTATCTGCTTCCCTGTTCTCTGGAAAAAAATAATAGAGCAATGAGGAGAGGTCAATTATGTGTACCTATTCACGTAGGAAATGTTGCTGCTGTCACACCACAGCGCTGCCTCTCACCTCGGAAGTTGTTTAGCCTTTCTGACATCCCAGAGATGGTCCATGTACTGAGCTGTGGATCCATGGGCTGAGGCATGTACAGCTGCACTAACTGATGCCTGCAAAGAAAAACACCCACTTTCCTGCAGACTCAAGGGTCTCATTCATGATGCATTGAAGAGGCTTCCTCAGAACCCTCACAATGAAGTTTAAAGATTATAAATTTAATTCTACAAATTGAGAAATACTACAGTTATTACAGTATTTTATAATCTGCTTCCCTACTGTTACCACATCAATCCCAGTAGAATATATCACCTCACTCATAATGCATCAGTTTCCTCCTCCCTTTCAGCTTCCCTAGTGGAGCCACACCGCAGTTCTCATTGAATTCCTGAAATCCACGGGGTGCCAAGGTTTTGAAATGTGCCACCTTGTACTTAGGGAGCCTCAGCTCTATCGTGGGTTCTTTCTTCTTGATGCTCCCTTTTTCCTCTTCTCACTGTCCTTCTACCTGCTGCCTCTCCATGTTTATTTGCTTTTTCCATATAAGACCTGAAATTATCCTCAAACAATGAGGATGTTGAAAATCACGAGCAAGAAAAATAATTGTCTTCTTGCAAACTCTACATTAAACCTTTCAACTAAAACCATACCCCCTCGACCCTCAGTCTTACTTAGAGATAGTCACTATAAAGCCTGGAGGCCTTTTACAGAAAGAAGAAATAAATACAGACAGAAACTCCTCACAAAAAGTGGGGGTCCATCTCAACAGAAATGGCCTGACCACTGGCACAGTTTCCAAGACTTCGATGGATGGGTAAACTTACCTTATCACTGCATTTCCTGGATCCTGTAAGAGAGGGAGAGGAAAGCTTGCTTAGTTTTCAGCACAAGGTGGCTCTTCTGTTTATCCTAGTTTGAGGATATGAGAGTGGACTGGAGAATTCAGTATCTCCAGCTTCCTTCTGTTGGCAAATGCATGTGTCATTCTTGTTAACTAAATAATCTCACATTTATATACAGTTGATCAAGTCATGGACTTGATAAAATTAAAAATCAGATGTTTTTAGGGTGAACAAATATGACTATGCTTTATCCCAGTCTACAGCGAGGTTCACAGAGGTCTCCCCGAAGTTCTTACAAGGATGTGTGGGCTCCAAACCTAGACCTTAAAAATAGAAAGAGTGAAACATCCCACATGTCCACCTATTGACAAGTCCGCATATGAAACTCAATTATCCAGTCTTAAATTGTTCTGTTGCAGTTGGTCAGAAGCTGTGGGTATTACAGAAGAAAACATTTTCTGGACCTGTTACTCTAACCTTTTCACACAGTTTTCCTTCTCCTGCATAAGACAAATGACCCTGGGTCACCAGGTTATACTGGAGGACAAAAATCTGCCCTCTCAAAGTCAGAAGAGGCAGAATATAAACTTTGGAACTAATGGAGGTCAGAGAGAACAGAGACTTCAGTGGATACTGATGATTTTCAAGCAGCTGATGTTCGGAACCCTAACATCCTGCCTCGGCCCTTACCTGGAGCAGGTCCACATCCGCTTTACAGCATAGTTCCTTCAGCTCCGCATAGATTCTTCTCAGCAGTTTCCCAGTATGAATCATTGTGGTTATATTTTTCCTGAGTTGCTCAAAAATAATCCTGCCTTCATTTGTCAAGCTCTCTAAATGCTTTTGCAGTTCCTCATGGAGGTATCGACACACCTTCGGATATTCAGCTCTGATCATCATCATCCGCAGATTTACAAAACCCTGCAGGGACATTGGGTTATTTAGATCACATATGTAGATTTTTTTCATTCTTCCCTTATCATGGATCATCTATGTGTTATGTACAGTTTACTTGTAGTCTGTTGAAATTGCTATAACAAAACACCAGGGCCTTGTGTAGGTTTTAAACAGCAGACATTCGTTTCTCGCAATTCTGTCAGCTGGGAAGTCATGCTGACAGATTTGGTGTCTGGTGACAGGCCAGTTCCTCAAGAGCCAGCTTTCCGGGACTCCTCACATGGCAGAAGGGACAAGGTACTTCTCTGGAGCCCCTTCCATAAGGTCACTTATCCCATTTATCAGGATTCTGCCCTCATGACCTAATCACCCCAAAGGCCCACCTCCCCTTGCCTTCACCTCGGGGAGCAGAATTGCAGCATAGCATTTGGGGTGGGGGTAACACAGACCATGGAAGTACTACGTACAGCTTTATGCCTTCCCCCCATTAAAAAAACACACATTTTGTTTCTTTCTTTCCTTTTTCCCCTCCCTTCCTTCCTTATCATTTATTTATTTCCCTGCACCATTGTTTCTGACTACTTTCCCTCAAATTTCACATTTTCATTAAAAAATAGAAATTTAAGGTCAACTTTCTTATTGTTTTCTATAATTCATTACTATATCAAAATCATAATTCATTCTCCTCCATACTCATATTCACACACTGAAGTTTTGCTGTCAGCAAAAGATGACAATTTACTTCCTAAGAAAAAAGAAGACATCAGACATAATCTTTTTAAATTACCTCAATGTCCAAAAAACTGTTTTTACTGATGATTAGCTCTGCCTGCCTGTTAGTACCCAGGGCTACACCTACCTCCTCCTGGATGGTCCATCCTGTATTGTCCCCTCAGAGATATTCTCTAGATTACTAACCCCCAGTCTCCGTTCTCTTCTTCACCTGTCTCCCTTTGTCTCTCTCTGTCTCTGCCACGCTATCTCTCTGTCCCCTCTTTCAGTGTGTCTGTCTCTGTTTCATGCTCTCACTCAATCACTTTTTCACACACAATTTTCCCTTCTTTTCACACAGCCTTTAAACATGTGTAAATTTACCTGATTATTTTGGAAAACCCCAATTAAACATCCTTATTCTAATAACCTTATTTTGCTTCTATGCTAACACTTTTATCCCCATCAAAACCAAACTTATTAACGAATTCTGATCAAATTCACCGTGCCCATGTGCCCAATTTTAATCATTTCTCCAGGCAATGACTTCTTCCTTCCATCTTCCAAGTCACCAAGAGCCTTCTTTATTTAAATCCAAGTACAGTGATACCTCGGTTCTCGAACGCCTCGGTTTTCGACCAAATCGGTATTCGACCAGGAGATTCGAGAAACTTTTGTCTCGGAATCCGAACAAATATTTGGAACTCGAACTTCCGAGATGAGCCGAGTTGAGCCGAATGGCGTTCATTCGGCCCAGCGCGCCTTGCTTGCGTCATCAGTGTGAGTGCAGAGAGAGAGTCACGCTTTGTGGAGTCACGCTTTCCTATTGGGTTTCATTGCTTCGGTTCTCGAACAATTCGGTTCTCGACCGTCCTCCTGGAACGAATTATGTTCGAGAACCGAGGTATCACTGTAATAGCATTCATTCTTACATTGCTTTACTCTCCTTCCACATTTGACACTACTTACTACTCGTTCCTTTCACTAGTACCTTCTGTTAAGTCTGCTTCAGAAAGGTGTCTTCTCAGAGAGCTGCTCCACTCCCCAACCTTTAGCTCTCTGCCCTGAAGGAACCTTCCCAATGGGTCTTCCCTAATCAGCATACATTCCCAAACCTGCACACTTTTTTTTTATCCTCACCTGAGGATATTTGTCCATTTTATCTTCAGATAGAGTGGGAGGGGAAGAGAAGGAGAGAGAGAGAGAGAAATTGAGAGAGATAGAGAAAGAGAGAGAGAGAAAGAGAGAGATGTGAGAGAGACACATTGATTGGTTGCCTCCTGTACAGCCCCAACCAGGGCTAGGACCAAACTGCAACCAAGGTACATGCCCTTGACCAGAATCGAACCCACGGCTCTTTGATCCATAGGCCAATGCTCTAACCACTGAGCAACCCTGCACTCTTTATACCCAGTCTCTGCTTTAATTGTTCACAAGTACTTCACAAAAGTCATGTATTATAAATTTTACTTTTTTATTTGTTAGAGTGAATTCTCTCACTAGACTATAAGCTCCCGAGGTCAGTGATTTGTTTCTATTTTTGTCAATGTCTCTACCTCTCTGCTGGCCTACAACAGTGATCAGTACATCCCGGGCCTCATATGAATGAATGGTTCATTAGGAAATTCATCCTAAATGATCAAGATGATGCTGTTATCCCCCTTTGGCCATGTTACAGCTTCATGTACTGATTCCGGTTAATGAACCATTATTGTATAACATTGCTTGTGTAAAAGTCTCCTTCTTTGAAGATAAAAAGTAGTTTACGTCTTCAGTTTTAGGTTCTCAATTCTATTTTGTGAATCAATGAATGATACAATTCAAAATTCTTAGCTAGGCATTCACGTTCTTGACCTAGCCATGATTGCATTTCTAGCCTTCTCATCACTTCCTGACTCAAACCCTATCTACTAATCAATAGAGCTACAAGAAGGTCCCAAACAATTCCATGTCTTACTTTTAGCTTTCATGGCCCTCAGAATTTTCTGGGACTAATGCCCATGCATTTACTAATTCTACTAACACAGCATCAGATTGACTTTTACTTGTCTGCCATGCTTTTCTTCACATTTAAAGTTTACTAAATTCCTATAAAACTCTATTACCTCCATTCCAGTGATCATTGCATTCAATTTGTGATAGTGCATTTTCTTGTCCCTGCTGATGTATTTGTGCTACATATTGTTTTATACAAAAAAATCAGAAAAAATATTTTGGTTACATACTGAGTTCAACATGAGATCTCACACTGAAGGTTAGGGAAACATGCATGGCTCTCTTTCTCATTAATCATTCAAGAGACATTATGATTTAATTCAAGTTCTTTCACTGTAAGTTATTATGATATCTTTCCCAAGCTGGTCCCAAGGAAAACAGGGCCTATTGCTTACCTTCCATACTTTGAGTATCTTGGTCTCTTTGTTTAGATTTCTCTGATTTTTCTGTTTATTCTTCCAAGTAGACTTCATTTGCATCAGAATATTCTCCTGCAAAAGAACTATAAATATGAGCACTAAAAAAAAAGTAGTACATTTCAGATACAGTAGTTCCCCATTATTTGTAGTTTTGCTTTCCATGGTTGTATTTACCCAAGGTCAACTGCAGTCTGAAAATAGTAAGTGGAGAATTCCAGAAGTAAACAATTGTTAAGTTTTAAGTTGTGTGCCATTCTGAGTAATGTGAAGAAATTTTGCTTCATCCCACCTGGGATGTGAACCTTCCCTCTGTCCAAGATATCCATAATGTATGTATATCCAAGGTATACATACATTACTTCCTGTTAGTCACTTAGCAGCTGTCTTGATTATTAGATTCACTGTCATGGTATCATGGTGCTTGTGTGCAGGTAACCCATGTTTTACTTAATAAATGATCCCAAAGTGGAAATTGCAAGTGATGCTTTCAATTTGAATATGCCAAAGGTAAGCACTAAAAATATATGTATATGTAGGAAAAAGACGGTGTCTATGGGGTTTGGTACCATCTGCAGTTTTTAGGCATTCCCTGGGGGTTTTAGAATGTAACACCACTGGATATGGTGGGATGACTATACCTCAAAGAGTGATAAGGGAATAGATGTGAGACAAATAAACAGGAAAAAGAGCAGAAATGTCGTTGACTTTCCTTGGAACAGTAATTGCCAAATCTGAGAGATCAACCAAAAATAGAGTTCCTGAATTTGAAAAATGTATCCATTATCTGAGGATTCTGGCACTGCTATTGTACATAATCTGGTCAATTTTCAGAAGTAAATCTTGCTTGATATTTAATGTTGAAATGTTAGCCCTCAGTTTTTCTAAGGCCCTCTTAAAATGTATTGGCCAGTATTTCTAAGTCTGCTCTCATTAGAGCAGATTCAGTGTGATCATGGCTGTGGTAGCCCGTGGCTGCCACTGCAACTAGATTTATCTATGTTACTTATACTAAAATACCAGCACCCTGATCCTCATCAACTCCATCCTATTCCTCTCCCTTAGCCCAATAGACTTTTAAAAAGAGAGCAAGGACATTTGCCTAGTTTCTCCTGTTTTTTAGAATAGTGCCTGGCACATGGTGTTCAGAAATTCTATTTATTTATTGCAGAAAAGAATAATAATAATCAATGCATTTTTCCTCTTTTCCAGCAGACACGAGGTTTTCCACATTTCAAAGTGCATTTGGAGGCATTACTTACCCTGTAGTGCTCAGCAGCCTTCTTGACTGAACAGTGTTTGTGAGTCACATGCCCTGGGGAATAACAGCAGAGCAAACACAACAGACTCTTGTCAGCTGGACAGAAGAAACTCTTCATTGCTTGGTGTGTCTTACAGATCTGCTTGACAGAGCTTGGTAACTGGTAGATAGTTGACTCTCCAGTAGGAACTGCTTTCTTAGCAAAAATAGTGCTTTTGAAGTCCATTTGCTGTGATATAGCCCTGCACACAGGGCAGCAAGTAGAAGTCTGGGTATCTTCCCACAACAGGCAAAGACAAGGAGTACAAAAGCTGTGCCCACAGATAATGGTGACAGGGTCTGTGAAGTAGTCCTCACAGATGGAGCAGATGAGCCTATTGGGGGAGCACCGCACGAAAGCAGAATCCATGTCTCTGAGAAAATAAAAGGAAAGAGTATTCTCTACACCTGTGCATGGGAGTTCAGTTTAAGCCGTCTCTCATCAACACCCCTATGCACTACAGTAGGACAGGTGATATTTTGAATAGGATGGTAAGTCACACAGAGAATCCTACAGACTGATAACATGCATTATTGTTTGCAGACCTTGGCCTGCAGCACTATGTCTTAGTTTCTATTAAAAAGCTAGTATTTTTCATATATGTTATCTCTTTTACAAAGACAAAGAAATTAAAGGTCCTGGACTCATTCTTAGTCACAGACAGTGGGTCATATTTTTTCCAAAACTATCACAGTTTTTTCCTCTCTGATTGGTAAGCACACACTATGTGCTTTAATGCTGGCCAATGAAATAAGAAAGATACCTAGTTCTAAAAGTCTGATTTGCAACATTATATTTTAGTTAACAGTGCTGTATTTTATACTTTAAAAATATGTTAAAAGGGTAGATTTTCTGCAAAGTGTTCTTACCACAGTACAATAATAAAAACAAAACAGCAAAGGAAACTTTTGTAGATGATGGATGGATATGTTCATTATCTTGATTGCGGTGAAAGTTTCATTTATATAGTGAACATTTTGAAATTGTACGTTTTAAGTATGTGCGGTTTATTGTCAATTATATCTCAATAAAATTGTTTTTCCCCTAGGAGTCAATAGGAAACCTCTTCAGGATTCCCTGCATCCTCTACTGGCTTCCTTGTCTTAGCAAAGCCCAGCCAGAAAAATATTTGGCCTGAATGAGAATAAAAGTGCTCACAGGAATGTTGAAAAAGAAGAACAAAGTTGGAGGAAACACACTACCTAATATGAAACTAAACTTCAAGGCCATAATAATCAAAACATATGGTTCTGGCATAAAGACAGACATATAGATTAAAGGAACAGAATAGAGAGCCCAGAAATAAACATACACCTTTATGGTCAATTAGTATTTGACAAAGGAGGCAAGAACATACAATGGGACAAAGATATATTTATTCAATAAATGGTGCTGGGAAAATTACACAGGTATGTGCAAAAAACATGAAAGCAGATCACCTTCTTTATGCTATACACAAGAATAAATTCAAAACGGATTAAAGACTTAAATGTTAGAGTCAAAACCATAAAATTCTAGAAGAAAACATAAGCAGTGAAATCTTGGACATTTCTTTATAGCAATATTTTTTCTGATATATTTCCTCAGGAAAGGGAAACAAAAGTACAAATAAATAAATGGGACTACATGAAACTTAAAAGCTTTTGCACAGCAAAGAAAACTATGAAGAAAATGAAAAGGTAACCCATTGAATGGGAGAACACATTAGCCAATGATACATCTGATAAGGGTTCAATATTCAAAATTTATAAAGAACTTATAAAACTTAACACCAGACTTAAGTTCATAGGTAAATGCTTTATCACCTCCTCCCACAACCACATCAAAATTACAACTAAACTACAGAACAACCATCATTCAGAACCACCTGACACTGAGCTGAATGGAAGTCCTACAACTACAAAATTAAAAAAGAAGCCACATCAAGACTGGTAGAAGGAGTGGAGGCATGGACTGGCTGGTCCCACACCCATGTGTGGCAGATAAAAATCAGGAGGGACACCTTGACTGTGAAGGTCCTCTGTGAGGAGCAAGGGGTCCTTGTCCCACACCAGACTCCCAGCTCAGGGTTCCAGTGTCAGGAAAAGAAGAACCTATCACTTCTGGCTGTAAAACCAGCAAGCACTGAGGCTGAGGGAAGCTGAGGCTTCTGGAGCCCCAGGCAGGTCCTCTTAAAGGGCCTGCACATGGACTTACTTGGACTCTCTCTTTCTGAGCTCCAGTATTGAGAAGGCAGCTTGAAAGGCACCTGAGACATATGGGGAAGAACTGAGCTATTTGTCATTGGGGTGAAAGTTGAAGGGGCAACTTTCTCCTGGACAGACTTGCTGTGGGAGTCTGTTGTTCCTTTGATGAGCCTTTCCCTGGGTTGGTAGATGGCCGCCATATCTGGGACTCCAGCAACCTGGCTCACACTATTTGTCCTGCCCTGGTAATTCCCTGAGGCCCTGTCCCACCCAACATTCAGGCCCACCCAAGCTGTTTCCAGTGGCTTTACCGCAGGAATGGCCTGTCTTGGATGCTTCAGATTTTCCTAAAATTTCTCAAACAAGCAGTATCTTGTCTCAGCAAGCCCCATACCTTTCATTAAGTGGCCCCAGGCCTGGCACTAGAAGCAGCCAGCCTTGGTTCACAACTTGGCTTTTCTTGGGCATCTCCAAGTCCAACACAAGAAGCAGCCATTTGCAGGTCACTCTGTAGCTTTTGTTGGGTGATCCCGGGTAGTGGCTGGCCTTCCCTCAGAGTCAGTACACCCAGTGGACAGCTTCACACCACACTGAAGCACCACTACCCAACCACCTCCACAAATGACACACTCATTTAGTGGACTTAGTGGGTACCAGAGCCCTGCTGAAGTAAGTCTTGCTCTATGTGTTGGGCCCCTACACCACTGATCCTCCAAGAGAGTCAAAGCCCATTGGTCAGTGAGCACAGTTAGTCCTTGCAGCTGATCAGCCTGAGTAAATCTCTCCCATTAATATGGCAACAGCAATCAAGATTCAGTTACAATAGAAGTGTGTACAGTCCACACTAGGGGTGCACCGCAAGGGCCCAGTTTGGGTGATCAGGGAGGCTATGCCACTGGACCCTACTGGATACCTACAACAATAGGCCACCCTATGAAGCCTAGAAGACATAACAACTCTACCTAATACATACTAACAAACACAGGGAAGAAGCCAAAATGAGGAGACAAAGGAACATGACCCAAATGAAAGAACAGAACAAAATTCCAGGGAAAGAACTGAGCAAAATGGAGATAAGCAATTAGTCAGATGCAGAGTTCAAAATACTGGTTATAAGATGTTCAAGGAACTTAGTTAGAACTTCAAGGAATTAAGGAGAACTACAAGGAACTTAATGAGAACATCAACAACACAAAAAAGGACCATTCAGAAATGAAGGATGCACTAACTTAAATGAAGAATAATTTAAAGAGAATCAACCCTGGCTGGTTTGGCTCAGCAGTTGGAGCGTCGGCCTGCGGACCAGAGAGTCTTAGGTTCGGTTCCCGCTAGGGGCACATACCCCCCCCCCAAAAAAAGAATAATTTAAAGGGAATCAATAGTAGAGTAGGTGATGCCAAGAAGCAAATCATTGATTTGGAATATAAGGAAGCAAAAAAATACCCAATCAGAACAACACAAAAAAAAGAATCCAAAAAATGGAGTACAGTGTAAGGAGCCTCTGGACAATCTCAAATGTACCAACATTTCCATCATGGGGGTGCCAGAAAGAGAAGAGAGAGAGCAAGAGTTTGGAAACCTATTTGAAAAAATAATGACAGAAAACTTCCCTAACTTGGTGAAGGACGCAGACATACAAGTCCAGGAAGTACAGAGAATACCAAACAAGATGAACCCAAAGAGGTCCACACCAAGACACATCATCATCAAAATGCAAAAGGTTCAAGACAAAGAGAGAATCTTAAAAGCAGCAAGGGAAAAGCAGTTTGTTACCTACAAAGGAGCTCCCATAAGACTGTCAGCTGATTTCTCAAAAGAAATTTTACAGGCCAGAAAGGAGTGGCAAGAGATATTCAAAGTGATGAAAAGAAACAACCTACAACCAAGATTACTCTAACCTGCAAAGCTATCATTTAGAATCGATGGACATATCAAAAGTTTCCAAGACAATAAAAACCTAAAGGAGTTCATCACCACCAAACCATTATTACATGAAATGTTGAAGGATCTTCCTGAAGGAGAAGAAGAACAAAAATATAAACAATAAAATGGCAATAAATACATATCTATCAACAATTGACTCTACAAATAAAATGAACAAGCAGAACAGAAATAGACTCATAGCTACAGAGAACTTTTTGTTGCTTGCCACATGGGAGGGGTTTGGGGGATAGGTGAAAAACGTAAAGAAATCAAGAAGTACAAATTAGTTGTTAGACTGATGATCCTCAAAGGAAAGGGGGGAGGGAGGGTGGGAAGAGATAAACCAAAGAACTTCTGTGCACATATGCACAACCAATGGACACAAACAATAGTGTGGGGAAGGCAGGAGGGGGGCAGTATTGGGGAGAAGGAAGTCAATGAGGGAAAAAGATGTGAATCTCTGTAATACATTCAACAATAAAGATAAGTTAAAAAATAAATAAAAATTAGACTAAAAAAATGCAAATCAAAACTATAATGAGATATTACCTCACACCCATCAAAATGGCTCCTATCAGAATGTCAACAAGTAAGTGTTGGTGAAGATGTTAAATAAGGGAACAATCGTGCACTTTGGTGAGATTGTGAATTGGTACAACCATTGTGGAGAACAGTATGTGGGTCCCTGAAAATATTACACATAAACTACCATATGATCCAGTAATTCTACTTTTGGGTACTTATCTGAAGAAAACAAAAATATTAACTTGAAAAGATATATGCACCCCTATTGTCACTGCAGTATTATTTACAAATAGTCAATATTTGAAAGCAACCTATGTCCATCAATAAATGAATGGATAGAGAAATGTGATATATATGTAATAGAATATTACTCAGCCATAAAAAGAATGAAATCTTGCTATTTGCCATAACATGGATACACCTAGAGGGTATTACACTAAGTGAAATAAGTCACACAGAGAAAGATAGTTGTCGTATGATTTCACTTATATGTAGAATCTAAAGAAACAAAAGAAATGAACAAGCTAAACAAAATAGAAACAGACTCATAGACACAAAGAACAGAATGATGGTTGTCAGAGGGGAGGGGGCTGGAGGCTGGGTAAAAAAAGTAAAGGCAATTAACAGGTACAAACTTCCATTTATATAGTCAAGAATATTGTATTAACTTTGTATGATGACAGAACATTACTAGGTTTATCATGGTGATCGCATCATAACATAAATGTTGAATCA